CATGCTTTTTTTGAAATTTGTAGTTTTACCTTAAGTATTTCCATATCAATTGTAATGAATAATTTGGTGTGTTTTCTTATGGAAATATGTAAATTACTGTGTAATCACAATATTGCAGCAAACAAGATAAATGCAAGAATGATCACCTAAACATCTAATTAGTTTTTCTACACAGTCAGATTTATGCTAGAGACACTAATTGCGCCTAACATTTTAATGAAGGTTTCAACATTGCATAAATAAGACTGACAAACTAAAAACAATTTTCATTTATTTTCCTTTTTCCTTTGCTCAAAAACAATTTGCCTTTGTAAAAGTCTCACACACCTGCTAAGCAAGATATGCTGATTGGCTCCCTGCTCCACACTCCAGCCATTTTCATTATAAAGAGGGCTGGGCAGTGTCACAATGGCTGAGCTTTGGGGAGGGTGACAGTGCCATGTGAAAAGTTGAAAAATTTCATCTTCAACAGGCCAACTGGTGCATGACAACTTAAAAATAAAAATACTCTTTGTTTCACTAAAATTTTGAAATAAAATTGAAATTAAAAGGAGATTTACAAAAGAAATGATGCATTTTAGCAAGTCACTGAATTCCAATTTTTCATAATGACTGGGGTTGAAATATTTAACACCTCAATGTCCTACTAATCACTAACAAGATGTTACACGCTGTCATCGCCATCGAAACCATCCAGTTGGGCCCCTCTACTTCTCTCACTGCGCTCCTCTTTCAGATCCAAAGTAAACGGGCACCCCTCTGGGGACAAGCTCTGAGTCTTTCCCCGAGGAGCTGAGCGCGGTCGTGAGGAAAAAGTGAAGATGCCCTTTGGGACGACCTGGCTTGCCTCTGTTTGGTGGTCATGTTCAATTTCCTGGCTGACCTCTGGCCACAGGTGGGAAGCCTCACAGCAGTCCTCATCCAGAAGTAAAGACTGTCTACTAGATTCCAATTGGGGAATGGGATCATAATTGTGAGGAAATATCCACTCATCTGACATTTAGAAAAGATGACAATAATTAGAGTAGCATTCCAGAAAAGTGTTATGATACAGGCGGTTAGGTTAAACTTTCTTGTTGAAATACAGATCTATGAACTAACGCAGAAGCCAAGGAAGGGCATTTATCCACCAACTTGTACCATGATCACATTTGACCCACAGGTAATGACCTCAGCCCTGGGGAATTCACTTGCACTTCTTTCCCATCTGAGTGGAAATACTGGACAGGAATCT